AAAAAAAAAAAAAGAAAGGAAACTCAGTGTCACTTTATGTTGAGTTTATAACAGTGCTTCTTCCCAATTCTACCTTCGACATAGGTAAGTAGATTCCTCCTCAGGGCCCCAGACCTTACGGAGTCGTGCTCTAGGCTTGTTTCAGCCAAGTCCCTTCCCATGGAGGAGGAAGTCAACAGGGAGAAGCGAATATGTCCACTGGAGCCTGTTCCCTCTCTCCTAGACAATTCTGGGTGCTGGCAGGACATCAAAATTTCTTGCTCAGAAGAGTCAAGTGTACCTTCAGGGCATACACAACTTTTTCACAGGGTTACTTCTCCAGACTGGGCCATGACACTGGGGTGGCTCACGTGGGGTCATGGAGTGTCAACGTAGATGGAGCTTAGACGTGTGGCCTATGCTATTTTTGGCAACGTAAATGGAGCTTAGATATGTGGGCTGTACTTTTGCCCCAGATCCTGCAAATGCAACACAAGAGCCTGCTCTCTCCTTCTTGAGCCACCAGCTCTCTTAAAAGATGTCATTGAGATCGCTAGCAACTCCAAAGCCTCTATGTACCTTCTCCACTTTCCTCAATCTCTGCAGAAAGTGATGATAAGCACTCACCCCAAGTGGAGAACCAGAAGGGAAAAGAAGAGGTTCCGAGAACCCAGAGAATTCCTCCTCAGAGCAAGCAGGGGCTAGACAGCTTTGCACCTCTCCACTGAGCAAAGAGCACGACCTCATGAGCAGCAAAACACTCTCTGGAAAAACACCAGCATTCCTGGTAGATTTCTTTTCCTTTGCTTGTCTCTAATCGACCCACAACCCCTTCTCTGGGCTATGGACTCCACAGTCAGATATGTAGTGAGATGTGGCCACTGCCTCCTCCTCAGTGAAGCGGTCTGGCTGATGCTCCCCCAGGGGAAATGAATCACTCTCGACTTTGAACTTGCACAGCTTGTTACTCACACCTTGGCTAGTGACTGACCTGTTCCATCACACTTTGTGGAGAGGTGAATCCTATGAGCTCCCCCAAGGCAGTGGCACCTGACTCACCTGGCTTCCCCTGCGGGCCTAGCACAGGGCTCACACATGGTGCAGCTGCTCAGGTGTTCTTCCCTGAATCAATTAACTTTAAAATTCCACCTGGTTGGGATCAAAGTCATTGAGATTTATGAGAAAAACCAGTCCAACCAGTCCCCACTTCATGCTTTTCCCCTGTGGCTCTTAGATCCTGAAGCTGGTTTATTTTGTCAACTTAATGTCCTGCTATCAACACTCACTTTATGCTTGGTCCAAGCATGAGTAGAGGCAGAGCTTCTTTATGTTGTAAAGCCTGGGAGCATCAAAAAGAGGAAGTTTTAGAGATTGTATTAGTTCCCTAGGGCTGCTGTAACAAAATGCCACAGA